CTACTTTTTATACTAAGCGAAATATATGGCGGTTTTGCCTATCCGTTCCTAATAATTTTATTTCAATTATCTGTCTCTTTTTTTATATATTTACTAAAATTATCAATATTAAATATTCATTTGTGTATATGTGTGTGTGAAAATTTGCTAGATTCTCTCTCCCGCAGAGACTATTAATATCCTACTTCTAACATTTACGATTTTTTTTTTTTTTTGGTGGTGGCAGTAGTTTTGGGACATCCTGTAGATTGTGTAGAGAATAGGAGGTTCGTCTCTTTTTTTTTTTCTCTTCAACACCCTCTCGATGGTCGCTCATCCGGGACCTGGAAATTATCATCTTCGAAGAACTCCGAAGAGTCATTTTACCCACCCGCCCCTGCTCTCGACGCAGGATAATTAGCATTTTATTGCTATCGTTCTAATTGACAAAGCTTCGCCGGTCATCCACTATATGTATAGACAGAAATCTGATTCCACCGCGATCAAACTCGAAGAGATTCTGATTCTCGACTACTCGCATTGAAAATTTAATTAACATTTTTTTTTTCATTTTCTATGTCGAGTATTTATATATAATGACTTGAAATTAATTTTTACTAATATAAAGTCTATTAAAAATTAGTTTTTGCTTTCAGATTACAAAGCTCAATTAAAATATTAATTTTAATAATCATTAGCTGCGCTTCACATTATTATGCAAATAAGGATTTATCTCAATAATTCATTTATGTCTATGTATTTTAAAAAAATTAGAATGGTAAGAACAGTAATTAATTATAGATTATCTCATACACATATTCGTTTGCATCTTATAATTTAGCGTGAACAAAATGAAGAGCTCTTCGAATGATTAATTGCGCGAGTAACCGAGAATCAAAATCATCTTTTAACATTTACATTCCGTTTGATGCAAGTTGTTCGCATCGCACGAAATCGCCGGAACGAAAGTGATGGAGACTTAAAAGGCATCACCTCATGTAAAAAGTGAGATTAATCTAAATCTCTGGAATATATTTTCACTTCATACGCGTTAAATAATTATTAGACCGATTCTACATACACGTGAAAGAAAATTATTAAATGAATACATATTTCATTTCAATATCGCCTAATCGAGATCACAGAAAAAACAGTATCCTTGAAAGAATGCAAAGATGCCTTGATTCAAGTATATTTTATCCTTATAATAGCGCCAAATATAAATAATTTTGGATAAAGGATAATTTATCCTTAAAACAAAGTGCAAAATATTCTTGGTTGAAGCTGAAATTTACTTATAAATATTGCAAGGACAAGTGAGCATCGGATATAAGCGATACTTTCAAATATATAATTCTTAATTCAAATGTGACAAATTGTAAGTTTGTTTTTACTATATAATGATTTTTAAAACAAGAATATATCTTAAGGATAAAATATACTTCACACAAATTTATTTATTATTATCAATTAAAATTTCTATTCGCTCGTGTATTGTATAACACAACTATATTCAAAAAAGGCCAACTTATCGAGCAATATTTAAGATGTTGTATCCAATTAAAATTTATTTCATAAACAATATATTAAAATTACAAAAAAACCTTCCATATAAATTTATTATTTATTATTAAGGCAAATGAAAATTTGTAATTACAAAGAGCATTCTATGCTTAAATCAATCAAATAGCGTTCAAGATTAAAAATATACTTGAATCAAGGATTCCTTTTTTTCCGTGATCATTTATTCAAAACAAACACAGAAAAAAAGGAATCCTTGATTCAAGTATATTTTTATTCTTGAACGCTATTTGATTGATTTAAGCATAGAATGCTCTTTGTAATCACAAATTTTCATTTACCTCAATAATAAATAAGTTTGTGTGAAATATATTTTATCCTTAAGATATATTCTTTTTTTAAAAATCGCATATGGTAAAAACAAACTTAGTCACATTTGAACTATTAGAATTATTACATATACTTGAAAGTACCGTTTATATCCGATGCTCATTTGTCCTTGCAATATTTATAAGTAAATTTCAGTTTCAACCAAGAATATTTTGCACTTTGTTTTAAGAATAAATTCTCCTTTATCCAAAATTATTTATGTTTAACGCTATTATAAGGATAAAATATACTTGAATCAATGCATATTTGCATTCTTTCAAAGATACTGTTTTTTCTGTGAATAAATATCTTTCTCATCGAATCAATATTATTAGTTCGAAAAATAAATGATTTATTAGGCAGCATTGAGATCAATATTGATTCGCATTGAATAATTTTTTTTCGTGTATATATCCACTAACACTTTCGTTCCACTTTGGCCTCTCCGTTTCATCTTTCCGATGCTTTTGAGAAACACTGGTCCAGCTCTTCCCCAGCCACCGGCTAAACACCGTGATGTTAAACTCTTAATATTGCACAACATCGATAACACTTCGATTTCCGAAAGGAGTTTTCGTTTGATCTCACAGCGATAAAGTGTAAGTGAGACTCGCGTACGGGGCCCTTTTTCTTTCTACTAGTCTCTCTCAAGTAAAGGACTTAACTGGCGACGGTGATAGCAGCAGAAGGTGATGATAACGTCGGTGGTATATATTAATCGATATAGTAATCGTTAATTAGAAACGAACGCGTGCCTCCGTAACGACGTGTCGCGCACTTGGACAAAGAACATTCTCCGATTTGAATGTATTCCTAATATATATCTAATACGCCATTTAAATAACTCTCGTATAACGTCCTCTCGTAAATACTTTGAAATTCCAACGGAAAATCAACTCAAAGTTTTTGACAGATTATCTAGCTATACTCGTCAAGCCTTTATATCGCAGTGTACGTCTCTAAGTTTTACGAAACTTGTCTTAATTAAAAACTATTTCACTCTACGACCTATTTAGAAAATTTCTCTAATATTATCGTTCTGAAAATAATATAGCGAACGACGAAAATGATCCGAATAAGCGTGAAAGCTAAAAATCTCAGCTGTCAAATTAGACTACTCTACGTCCTCTCTATTTATACATATGTCTTATTAACATGCATATATAATTCTTATTAAATGACACTCGATTCGGAGAATGTCAGAGTCGCACCCTTCGGGAAAATCTCTTTCGATTATTTAGTATAATTACATCTCTCTGAATTAATGTACATAATATATCGAAAATGTTTCTCGCGCAAATTTGCGACGATTATACAATTGATCAATAATGAGAATAAGGTACACGAGAGATAATAAAACGATAACGTCGTCGTGTTCGCCGTCGCCCTCTCTTATCGACAGTATGTATATGTGTAAGTAATATATTCTAGTGTTTCATTATACATTATGCTTAGCAGATATCGCTCGAAGATTTTTACCTAAAATCCACGTGGCAACAAATAACCAAGTTCCTTAATTACTTTCATTGTTCTGGCGGTTGAACTCTCATACAAAGTCAAAAAGCGAAGGAAGGACAACTGATATCAGGATGCTGATCAGAATAATCGCGTTAAAATAAAATATATATATAGCTACTTAACGTAAAATACATACATTCTGACAAGGCGAAGTCTATTGTTTCTCTCATTCTTGCTTTTCTCGTGCTTGTACTAGACGTCAGAGAATAATAATGCCGATTAAAATTATTGCATGCGCTATTTTTCAAGCTAGAAAAATTGCAAATAATATGCATACATTCTGAAAAAAAAATTGAAATCTTTTTATTGAAACAAGTATCACGCTAGCCAATAAAACTTGATGACGCAAAACATATCGGAATAAATATAAGAATGTCGGATTTCGGATTGTGCTGCTGAAAATTCAGTAACACGAGATTGTAAAGTTAAAAATATTATGATAAAAATTATATTTTGTTTTCCACAACAAAAAGAGTAATTTATTATATATAATTATTTTACTTCACACATGTAACTAAATATCTTCGATCACGAATATTTATCTGCAATTATTTTAAAAGCAAGTAAAAATTGATAATAATATACCTAATAACGTGTAGATATAAAGGACAATTGACTTTTGACAGCATTTCGAATAAATATAGATTCTCCATTAAGTTTCGCTTTATCATCAGCATCGATCCGAAAATTCCTCGGCAATGAATAAATCATCAGAAACATTATCGAAAATCATACACACAGACACAGAATGCCAGGGGAATTATCTACAATAATCACAGGCAAATCGATAATGACTTCGTGGAAGAGATTCGCCGCCATTTTCGAGGTTCGCTTAAAGTAAATCCTAACTTCTAGCTAGTATCGTTTAGCAATTAAAAAAAGAACGAAAAAAAATGGAGACCAGAGAAGACAAAGAAGGAACGGTGAACAGTCGAAAAAACGAATATGGATCGACTGAAGGAATGAAAAAACGAATCGCTATAATATAATTATTAATATGAATATATTACACGAGTAACGAGTTTGCTGCGCCGCGCGAAATAATGTGTGCTGCGATTGAACAATCGAATTTTCATGAGAGAAGAATCATACTTCTCTTTATTGTACGATAGATGAAAATCATGAAGAAACTTATGCGATTTCAGTAGCCTTTGCGAAAGAAAAGTAGGTGGAAACGAAGTAAGATTGCTCCAGTTATTCAGTTATGCAACGATTAGAAATGTATAATAAATAAAGATGCACGGAGATTTCGGACATTTCGAAGATCTTTTAATGCCGCCTCTTTATACAGCTAGAAGTATAACTAGAGAATCGACTCTAAGTTGCGTGATAAATTTCTTTTTATCTATTTTTTTTCTATATAATTTGTAACAGCTTTTTAGAAAATTTTTAATCGACAAATAAAAAGGCAATAAGAGCTAGATAAGTTTTATACTAGAAATAAATTAAGATTAAAAATTAAAATATTAGTATTTTTAATATATTCGCTGAAGAAGGTTGAAAAAGATCAACCGAAACGTACGAGGAATCGAATTTACTTCTGTATAATATTTAATAATTTATGTTATAAATCTTTTCGCAAATATAAAGTATAAAACTTATCTAGCTCTTATTGCCTTTTTATTTGTTAATTAAACATTTTTTTTCTAATATTATTTATAAATGGAGAGAAAAAATTGAGCGCTAAGCCTGGAATCCTGATTCGTTTTTAGCAGAGAATTCAATCCGCTGGAGTAATCTCGCTCCATTCGAAATTCGTACGTGATGTCCAGATAAAGTAAGCTTGCAATAGAAACGAGCATTGGCTCATTATCGGAACGATGAAACGCTTTCGGGAAGAAATTAATGAAATCCCAAAAGAGAAATTATCGGGAAAATCGCGCCCCGCCATAATCGATTCACGCTATCGCTCGATCTTTTTCTGTTTTGTGCACTCGAACTGTGAAAATATTCCGAAAGTATCTCGACGAGGCGGAAGAGTCAGATAATGAATATAGAAAAGAAGATGAGAGGAGAGAGCCGCCCTTGACAGTGAACTGCTATTGTAGATAGATGTCCTGTGTGTCTCTATAAGTGTTTTATATATATACTTGTATATATGTGTGTGTGTACGTGTAATTTAATATAGATTATCTGCCTGTGTGTTTGTGTTATGTAATCTGTATATATAGGTATATAATACATCTATAATGTATCTATGCACATATTTCCTGGTTACGCATTCATGTTTATCTGTGTATATATGTGTATGTATGTGTGTCTGCGCGCGCGAAGATCCTTACGTCGATAAAATACACTATAACATTATATATGTACATTAACATGCGTAATAGAGGCTATTCTGGGGATATCTGCGGGAAAAAGGAGGGGGTCTCTCTGTGTAGGAGAACGTGAGAGGAAAAAAGGGCTAGAGAAACTCGTGTATCTTGGGCGCAAGCTTGAGACCGCAACGTAAGTTAGACAAGATCGAGATAGGTATAGGTATATATGTATATAGTAGATAGGTTGCCGTCGAGGGGTTTTTTTGTCTAGGTTTTAGGCTAGCTGGAGAGCAGAGTAATCCTGTAGTGGTAGACGCTAGTGAACGAATATGCAGGGTCTTTGGCTTCGAGATGCGCGGCGTCCTCTTAGGGTAATGGCACTACGACCTGCACGTAAGTCACAGGGAAATAACCCGTGCGCCCGTCCAAGCTGCCCTCGTACCAATTCTCGTCGATTTTCTGGGTCAAGGTGATCGTGTCGTTTTCCTGCAAAAAAAAAAACACAAATTGTTCGCAATCCTTGGAAAATTCATCCCAGCAAACACCGATATATAATTGTTACATTGCTATAATAAAACGGAATATAACAGGTAATATAACGTGTACGTTATATGTAACATCCATGTTAGTTGTAATTTCCCACTCGTAGATGCAACATTTTAATATAACATATATTACATTGTAGTTATATTGTAATTATATACCAAATAGCACATTGATGTATTGATAAGTCAGTGCTATCTTGGGATATAATGACAATATAACTACAATGTAATATATGTAATATTAAAAATGTTACATCTATGAGTGGGAAATTACAACTAACATATACGTTACATGTAACATGCTTGAGTATATAACATTTATATACTGTGTTTGCTGGGATTCAACACAAAATTCCACAGAAAAAACAGTATCCTTAAAAGAATGCAAATAAGCCTTGATTCAAGTATATTTTATCCTTATAATAGCGCCAAATATAAATAATTTTGGATAAAGGATAATTTATCCTTAAAACAAAGTGCAAAATATTCTTGGTTGAAACTGAAATTTACTTATAAATATTGCAAGGACAAGTGAGCATCGGATATAAGCGGTACTTTCAAGTATATATAATAATTTTTAGTTCAAATGTGACTAAGTTTGTTTTTACCATATGCGATTTTTCAAATAAGAATATATCTTAAGGATAAAATATATTTCACACAAACTTATTTATTATTAAGGCAAATGAAAATTTGTGATTACAAAGAGCATTCTATGCTTAAATCAATCAAATAGCGTTCAAGAATAAAAATATATTTGAATCAAGGATTCCTTTTTTTCTGTGTCGTTACACTGTTCAACGAAAAAGGTAACGAGTCGTTTATAGGAAATCTTGAATTTTCAAGTTTTGAAATATTTATTTGATGCGAGAAAATCCTTTATTCGGTGAAATAAAGGATTTATTAGGCAGTATTGGTATTTATTAATTTTGTAGCTTGGTTTCATTGTACGATATATGACGTACTCTGGACAAGTTTTATTGCAATCAAAATTAAGTATATTCTTAGGACTTTTAATCCTCAAAAGGAATTTTTGATATGTCAACACAGCTCGTATTTAATCCATGGATATTTTATTAAAAATTCCTTTAAGGATTAAAAGTCCTAAGAACATACTTTATTTAGATTGCAATGAAACTTCTCCACGTCACATATTGTAGTTGTAATATGACGAAGATAGTCCTTTTTTGCAACTTTAATTAAAAATTTCTCAAAATTGTGACATGATGGAGCAATTGGGAAATCATAGATTCAGCATTCAAAAAGTTATAAGAAACGACTATAATTTTCATCCTGGTTAATTTTTTTGTTGAACAGTGTTATCTATCTTTAAAGAAAAAGAGCAAGAATTCAGGAAAGAAATCTAAGAAGACGTCGAAGAAAATTTAAAAAAATCAGACTAATCCAATGAACCATAGATTCGTATAATATTTATAAAATCAACTCTATAAATAAATAAAATTAAATTAGATATTTTGATAAAAAAAAAAAAAAATTAGGACATCTTGGACGTAGACGTCTTTCCTTAAAAAAAAAAATTGGGTAATTAAGCATTCGGCGAAAAATCTCGCGACTTTACCTTGAATCCAAGTTCACCGGGATTTTCGGGTTCGAAGTCGTAGAGGGCTGTGCAGCACGGCGTTCTCGGCTGTGTTATCGGCGTCCTCGCTGGCGATTTGCTCGGTGAGGGCAAGGGTGAAGCTGAAAATAATCGGCACGAGTGTGCTAAAACTACCGGAAGCGTCGCACTAATCTGACGGATAAACGCGTCGCGCTGGCTGCGCGTCGTGTATCGCAGAAGTGAGTGCGTGTGACAAACTACAACAACACTTAACAATCCGCGACCCCGATCCGGTCGCTCCCGTGGATCGTCGAAATTACATCGTGCAAAGCATTTGCCCGGCAGTGCGCGATGTCTCGCGATTTCTCTTTCTAAATGCGAAAATAAAATAATGACATTTAGAATTGAGGTGAAAAGGAATCTCTCTATTCAAATCAATCATTGTCAATGAAAGCTCCGTGAGCTAATTGAAAGCCTTTGCAGCAAGAAGGATATTGTTAGATTTTGTATATACATGTAATTGATATTATGCTTTGCGTCAAAATATTTTCCAAAAATTTACATCCTTCAAATTTTTACTTATACATGCCTAGTATTAATCAGTTGTGTAATTAATAATATAATTTAAAAAATTATATTTTCACATTTTTTGTACAAATTTGAACGCTATTATTCTGTAAAGCTTTGATTGCATCTCTTTCATAATTATATAAATTTATTAACAAAATATAATTTATATATGTTATATATAAAAGTTGCATTTGCAATCGTTACTTTCCTTCTTGTTGTAGTTTATTTAATTACTTAAAAACTATCCAGCACAATCCTTCACTACAGGTACAGGGTGACAGGACATATCTCGAAAGCATGCATATATATAATGATGGGTCATCGGCATTGTAAGAAGGTATAAAGCGATGGGTGATTTCGTCGAAAGAAAAATAAAAGAGGCGCCGGATCGCAGTTGCACCAACAGTCCCGACTATTAATTCCGACAGAGAAACTTGATATCGGTTTTCCGGAAACGTTCCGTAACATATATAGCGAGCGAGAAACTTTCGGTAATTAGGGCCGACGTTAACCGCCCTTAACAACGCAACAGTTGGTACAACCGTTCTCGGAAAGGGATTCGTTTGTTCGTCTAACAGAGAGAGAGAAAGAGAGAAGGAAACCCCCATGCAAAGTTTTACCATTGGTAGATTGTGGCGGGTTTCCGGCCGGAAATAGCTCGAGCTGCGAGCGCTGAATCGGAGAGCCGGCTCGACTTGACCCTGCATTGTGTCAGAGGGACAGACAGGTATGCCACATTATACACACAGCACAATCAGAGGAAGAATAGTGTGATAATGTGACAGTGTGACGAATGTAATGTGTGTGTGTGTGTGTGTACTTCACGCGTAATCACCCTTGAGGGATGTCCGATACGTTGACATTTAATGGACAGTACGATAAATGTGTCAATACGCGGAGATGCACCCTTGATAGGACTAATCGAGCATCCAAGTTCTCCTCATTAATTCATCAAAAATTTCTATTTCATTCTCCATTTTATATATCGTATTTCTGCAAATTAATTTTCAAGGCGAGAGAAAATTTTGAATCTACACTTTACGTCCCTCAATTCGCATATTATTTCTTTTCATGGAATATATATATTAGTAAGTGTGAAAGAAGAATTAATATTTTCCCTTTTTTGATTTTATAACTATATCTAATTAAAATTCCCATCGAGATTTAAATATCCAATTCGAAATGAGAAAAAAGAGACGAAATAAAATTTCAGAGGGATAAAATTAAACACAGATCGTCTCGTTTAATTTTGACAGATGCAGGTGGGAGCAAGTTTGAGCGAAGCATAGAGAAGATTTTGATATAGAGTGGCTTCACCGAAAGGGAAGAGATGCAATAATATATGTATATCGGTCAATGTGGGGCCACGTAAGGACACGTAAACGTCGGCATGACAGAGAAAAAAGAGAGAATAAGAAACAGTTAGACACAGCCAGACCACCCGAATATCGTCGCGCCGTGTGTGGAGTATCTGTGAAATGTGTTTTACCGTGAAGGGAGAAGTTCCCACCGTTCACGTGGTCCGACAATCCGCCGTCCACGTGCAGATCCGCCAGTGTCTTCGGCACGAATTCCAGCTTTGGTCGGCTTACCGCCTCCTCTTTCCTAAAGATAAGAGATTCATCCGTAGACAACGTTTTCTCATTGATGAAAAAACAGCTACATCAGTTTTCAACACTCTTTTTGCACGTAAAACATTTTCTATATTTAGAAAAAATATAGAAAATATTTTCTATGTTATTCTATAAATATTCTATATATTTATAAAAATATATATATATATATATATATATAAATATTTATAAAAAATGTATTAAATAAAAATTCTCATTGATGAAAAAAAGACGCTTTTTGCATGAAAAACATTTTCTATATTTATAAAATATAGAAAATATTTTTTATATTATTCTATAAATATTCTATATATTTATAAATATATATATATATATATATATTTATAAAAAATATTCATAAAAAAATGTATTAAATAAAAATTCTCATTGATGGAAAAAAGACGCTTTTTGCACGTAAAACATTTTCTATATTTATATAAAATGTAGAAAATATTTTCTATATTATTCTATATATTTATAAAAAATATTTATAAAAAAATGTATTACATAAAAATTTTGATTTACGTCAGAAAATCGCAAAAAAAAAAAAAAGTCATTGAGAATATACTCACAATTATTTTTGTATTGTGAAAAAATGATGTACATCGCGCAGTTTATATTTAATTTACATTCAATGTGCGTTTAACTGAAAAATTATTAGAACAATTTCCAACATTCGTATTGGAAATTTTTCTACTAATTTTTCCGTGCATATATGCCATTGTAAACATACTTTTCGAGAAGCGTCTCCGTCAACCCTCTAAGTATCTCAGTACACTGTTGATGGTACTCGAGAAGAGCCTCGCTAAAGGTTGCCAGTTGAGCGACTTGTTCGATCTGCAAAGGAACGATGTGAAAATCTCTGATTCGTCCTTATCGATATGTCATTTTAGATACGACTATATCACGACGAGACTTACATCGTTCTCGAGCAAATTGAACATGCCCATCTGTGCCAGATGAAGGCTCTCCGCGAACTTCTCCTCGGCTTGACGAATCTCGTCGTCTGAAACGTGAGAACCTGTTCGCAAACGGTCGCCCCGCCAATGGCATTAAAAAAGGTTGCACTACTGGGGTTGCTTTCCTAAATCTAAACACTTAAAGTACAGCGCGGGTGGAACGACAGAAAAGCGTAATTAGCTCTATGAGCTTGCAAGCATATTTAAACATGTTTCACTGTCGTTGGAAATGTAATAATAATAATAATCACTTGGTGCAAATTATTTCTAAACTAACAATAACATGAGAACAACAGGAAAATCTAAATAACTCTTTGTTACTCTAATAAATAAAGGTATATAAAAAAATTACCATTATTTATTATAATAATAATTTGTATATTAATATATATAATTAAATTTATTCTTTTTTTATATTTTAAATTTTGCCTTTAGTTCCAATTTATTTAAAATTTTATTTTAGTAAAAATTTGTAACATTCAATATTTCCCACAATTAATTATCCCTTCTTTCTATTTTGCTTTCCTTTTTCCCTATTCAATTATATTCATTTGTTCCTTTCATCAATAAATAATTATTTTAAAATAATATCTAATTATTCTTTTACTTTTTTCGTTACCTCTAATATTTTTTTAATTTATAAACTATTCTAATTTTTTGTTAACGAATCTTATAAATAAATATTTTCAAAGTATCTAACAAAATATATATTTTAAGCTATATAAAAAATATTCCACTTCTGACATCTATTGTATGTCCTTTGTGAACATTTCCGAGAATGCTTTCGTCATTTCGAAACTTTGGAATTTTTACAAGTGATTATTAATGAGAGAACGTATTGATCGACGATACGTATAATAATGGCAAAACTCCAAAAATACGGGATAGCATAGATACAAGCTTCTAAGCGCGATAATGGAAGTCACCATACCAGCATACGACGAAGAGATGCTAAATCGCGCTGGGCTTCCAAAATGCGGACTGGCGGACCTCTTTCCAGTCGCTAATCATTAATTGTAAGCCCAACGAAAAACAAGCATATCACACCAATCGTCAGTAAAAAGCGAAAATCATTCGGCGCAAATCGTGACAACGCGAAAGAATCGCGATTATAAAACGTGCGAAAATCATTCATAATCATCATAATTTAATATCTATAATCACTAAAATAATTAATATAAAAATAAAATTAATTATGGTAATTACATTAATAATTATAATAATTAAAAATCGTCAGATATCTGTCAAATTCCAAACAAATTAAAAGTTCGAAATAATTCAATCGTATTATTTTAAAATTTGTGTTAAAATTTTCACGGAAACATAAGAATCATTCTCCGTTTATAATACATTATATACCTGTGCGCAATTAATAAATTCATATAGATGTATATAATATAAATTAATATAAGTTTATACTGTAATATTTATATAAAATATCGAAAATATGGATAAAAAATTATTTCCTCGTCGAAAGCATAATAAAATCCTGTGCTTTCATAAATAGCTCAAAAACAATTAATTATGTGTGTATGTGATCATATGAAAATTAATTCCTGATGCATATAAAGTGTATGCACTAAAGAAAAGCGTTCGCTCATTCCTTTTTTACTCTACTTTTAAATTCACGCTGATTTGTTATTCTATTCGAACATACTCATGCAGCGCAACATGCGAGTAGAGGTCTCTCATTTCTATTACAAGAACAAGAGTTGCATCATTTTACCTATTCATGCAACGATCTCATCCTAATAATGCTATTTTGGAAGAATGAATCATGTATGAGACACGATTCTGTTTTCTCTTATGCATGCCGAAAACAATGAAAAATAAAGCTGTCCTCTCAAAAATTCGACAAGTCAATTCGCTGGAAAAAGTATAAGCGAAAAATCGAAATATAAAATGCATAAAACTTGAAGAAGTAATTGTCAAAGCGGATCGTCCATCAGACAAAATGTAATAACAATTAATTAAAGTTAAAATTCGCAAAATTAAAATAGTGCTAGTCAAAATCAAGATGCGAATTATGTTACAGTAAAAAAGGTATAGGATATATTAATAATAAAGACAAGACACAATTATATTATTATTTTTATATCTTTTTTTCAAAGCTCCACTTTGGAAAAAATTGTGATAATAAATGAAAAAATCACGAAAAGCGCAATCTATACACGAAGAGAATTTTCTATTAGAATTTACCCTGAAAATCATGGGACAATATGATATTGGAAAAATATTTTCTGAGTATTATTTACCACAATAAAAAATATTAATATGTACATAGTAAAATTAATCGAACATATTTTATATCTTCTTGTATAATATTAATATTTTTTATTGTAGTAAATATTAATCAGACATACTTTAATAAAATTCTTCCAATACCATATTGTCTCATGATTATCTTATTTTTCAGGGTAATATCTAAGAGAGAGAAAATTCTCTCTGTGTAATTGCACTGAAAAAAAATTTGTAAACTTGAGTAAACCTTTCAACTAAACTACTATTTTGTTAATTAAGCATATATTTTAATATTTAAGTCAAATATACGTTTTGTCAGATTAAATATATTTAATTTAAATATTTTTATATGTTCAATGAACCAAATAATATTTCGTTGAAAAAAAACTTTAGTCAAAAGTTAACAAATTTTTTCAGCGTACTTCTTAAAAAATAGCATCGTTTTCTGCGCTTCATTCGCATTATAATCGCGAAAAAAACACCGATTTCGCAAAAAAAATTTGTTAATTTGACTAAACCTTTCAACTAAACTACTATTTTGTTAATTAAGCATATATTTTAATATTTAAGTCAAATATACATTTTGTCAGATTAAATATATTTAATTTAAATATTTTTATATGTTCAATGAACAAAATAATATTTCGTTGAAAAAAAACTTTAGTCAAAAGTTAACAAATTTTTTCAGCGTACTTCTTAAACGATAGCATCGTTTTCTGCGCTTCATTCGCATTATAATCGCGAAAAAAACACCGATTTCGCAAAAAAAATTTGTTAATTTGACTAAACCTTTCAACTAAACTACTATTTTGTTAATTAAGCATATATTTTAATATTTAAGTCAAATATACATTTTGTCAGATTAAATATATTTAATTTAAATATTTTTATATGTTCAATGAACCAAATAATATTTCGTTGAAAAAAAACTTTAGTCAAATGTTAACAAATTTTTTCGGCGTACTTCTTAAACGATAGCATCGTTTTCTGCGCTTTATTCGCATCACAATCGCGAAAAAAAAAAAAAAAAGCGATTTCGCAATTGTGACTTTTTTTTTCTCCCACATCCGGAGATGTATATAGTCTCCGTTTGCGGGAAAGGGAAGAAAGAGGGAAGGGGGAAGGTCACGACACCTTTATCTTTGCGAAAATGACGGTTTTGCAGTTGTGACCCTTCGCCATCGCATCGGAGAGCCTTGCCCGCGTAATGTCGTTTTCTTTTACGACATCGCGCTATCACGGCGAGATCACGATCGTGCGGTTCTGGCTTCTCTCTCCATTAGCGGCGCAATCTTCTGCCGTGTCGCGTGTTATTATGCGCATTATACGCGTTCCCTTCGTCGCTTTTTATTTCAACTCTTGAAATTGCGAGCGAGACGCGCGTTCGTGCAAGGACACGCGCGACGTCGCTCTCTGAATAAATCAATAAAGAGCGCGCGAGAGAGAGAGAGAGAGAAAGAGAAACACACATGCAGAGGAGAAAACTTTAACGTACCTTTCGCCTGACGTCTTCGCTTGCAATCAAAGTCCAGTCTACGGCCTTGCAGTTTCTTCCGGTGGTGCTGGAACGAGAAATCGAAGCGAAGATCGAATGTGCGCGGGCTTTCTCGCTAAGTCGCGAGAGAGGGTACACAACTTTTCTAATAATCGTACCATCACTTCTTTGAGATCCTTGGTCTGCAGATGGTGCAGAGGCTCGAGGAAGTTCTGCTTGATGTTGTCGTCCAGCGAATATTTCACGTCCGCCATCTGCTTCATGGCCTCGCCCATTTCGATGAGAGCCTGGGCTGGAAAAAGTGATAGAACGAGATGAAAAAAAAAAAAAACAAGATAATGTACTCTATCGAAAGAAAGATTGTCTAGATTTTCATTGTTTCCAGAAAATCATCCTCGAATAATATTTAGAAAAAAATTGTCGAGTAAAAAAAATTTTTTTGTAGAAGAGAAGATACGTATTTATTTTTGAAATATTTGATAACAATTTTAGTGTTACGAAATTAATAAAGAACGAGGTAAAAAACAAGATAATACACTTTATCGAAAGAAAGATTGTCTAGGAGTGATCAGTTCCGCCAGCGAATTTTTTTCGCGTCGAAGGTAAATAATACAACTATTTTCATTGTTTTCAGAAAATCATCCTCGAATGATATTTAGAAAAATATTGTCGAGTAAAAAAAATTTTTTTGTAGAAGAGAAGATACGTATTTATTTTCGAAATATATGATAACAATTTTAGTTTTACGAAATTAATAAAGAACGGGGTGAGAAAACAAGATAATACACTTTATCGCACAACAGATTGTCTAGGAGTGATCAGTTCTGCCATCGGGTTATATTTCGCGTCAAAGGTAAATAATTCATAAATTTCAATGCGAAAATAATACAACTATTTTCATTGTTTCAAGAAAATAATCCTCGTGTGATTTTATGAAAAATTGTCGAGAAAACAAAATGTTTTGTAGGAGAGAAGATACGTATTTATTTTCGAAATATATGATAACAATTTTAGTTTTACGAAATGAATAAAGGACGGGGTGAGAAAACAAGATAATACACTTTATCGAACGACAGATTGTCTAGGAGTGATCAGTTCTGCCATCGGGTTATATTTCGCGTCAAAGATAAATAATTCATAAATTTCAATGCGAAAATAATACAACTATTTTCATTGTTTCAAGAAAATAATCCTCGTGTGATTTTTATGAAAAATTGTCGAGAAAACAAAATTTTTGTAGGAGAGAAAATACGTATTTATTTTCGAAATATATAATAAAATAACTTTAGTTTTACGATAAAAAATAATACACACGGTTGACGCAAAAATACTCTTAAGCTTAAGATTTAAAGAAGAATTTTATGTTTATAGAGAGATATATTTTTATTATCCCAAGAAAATGATCGAATAATTTTTATGAAAAATTGTCGAGTGAAAAAAATGTTTGTTGTTGTAGAAGAGAAAATACATAAATACATATTTATTTTCGAAATATATGACAAAATAATGTTAGTTTTACGATAAAAAGTAATATACACGGTTGACACAAGAATTCTCTTAAGCTTAAGATTTAAAGAAGAATTTGATGTATATATAAAGAGAAATATAGCTATCGCGAGAATTTTGTTCTCGTCACGACTACACTGAAAAAAATCCATATACTTTTACATGGTAATTACTAGTTCAGAACTGGAAAAGTTACTTGCTCATCATTGTAATTTTTTTCCCATTTGTTTTAAAGTGAAAATACATATTAATGTAAAAATACACGTAAAATATAGATAAAATTACTATTTTTATGCAAAAATCATATGTAATTTTAAATTTACTACTTTTTAATTTATTAGAACTTTACTTTATAAATATTTATCTATTTTATTTATAACATTATTTTATAGCATTTATACATTACTAACATTTCCTATGTGCAATTCCATGATCAGTGAAATATTTTTAATCTCGAAAATATTTAAGAATATATTTCATATGAAATTACATATAATCTGTAATCTTCCATATAAGTATCAATATTGCATGATTATGCTGGGTCGGAAAGAAACCTAGTTTAATCATGTAATTTTACATAAATCTTTTTTTCAATGTGTATCGGATAAAAATCGTACGTACCGAAAATGCTGTCCTCGCCCATTTTCTTGCCGTAAAGGAGCATACAATCGCCTAGGACACCCTCCGGCTGAGGATAGGTGGAGGCCTTCGCTTGACCGCTGAGCTTGCTGATGCCCTTGACAGCTGCCATCTTCGCCCTCGCTGTCGGATTCGGCTGGAGAAACTCCTTCGTTTTCAGCTGCAGCTCCTCCACGAGCTCGTACGTGACGTCTGTTTTCTGTGCGTGACGTTTTTTTATGTGAAGCTTCTTGTCTCGCGACACGCATTGATTCGCGCGATTTCAGATTTATGGAAATTATATTCACGATCCGCATTATCGATTCGGGAGAACACAATAAGGCGAAGCATTCGAGATATTGTCCTCTAGAAGTATAATACCTGTGCAATTTCGCATAACGCAGTTCTCAAGTTTTAGAAAAACCTATTCTCTTATTTCACAATTGTGTTTAGCATTTTTTAATACTTTCAACATGGGTGAGATTTATTTTATGACAAGTCAGTACATTTGACTGAATTTTTATATTAAGTTTGTAAAAAGGGATCTCTATCATTTATTTCTATTTATCTCGAAATTGAAATAAAAACAGTCAATATAAGATTTCATACACTGAACAAAAATTTGGTAACTTGACTAAACCTTTCAACTAAATATTATTTGGTTAATTGAACCTATAAAAATATTTAAATTAAATATAATATATTAAATGTAACAAAACGTATATTTGACTTAAATACTAATATATGTTGATTTAACAAAATAGTAATTTAGTTGAAAGGTTTAGTCAAGTTAACAAATTTTTTTTCAGTGTAGAGTCGCAAAATTGAGGAAAATTTCATAAGAAATTTTGTTCAAATCACACGTATTATGTCAAATTAAAGCGGTCGATTGTATTCAGAAAGAAGATAATAAAAGGTTTTTCTGGCTTCATATATTTTGCACAGAGACCCTCTAAAAGATGGTAAATGATTGATAGGATCGTCGAGAAAGCCAGGAGAAGCCAGGGTAAATCTTGAAAATTCAGTAATAACGCTGCCATATAGAACGTGCAAGTCATCTCTTTCTTGACGTCCTCACAAAGGAACCGTGCGAAAATAAGGGAAGCAGTCTTCCTCACTTAACACATACACATAGACGCGAAAATGCACCACTCACCCTTTCCATATCCACGAAGTCGACGTCGAGCTTCGTCCCTTCTGCTCCGCCCATCTTTTCCGTCATATACTGCAAAAGAAATGTTATCCTTAGTCTAAAATCTACCAATAATAGCCGAATAAACGATGCGTTTCACCGATTTTACGGATCTCTTAATCCGATCTTGTCAAGATCGAGGGAAAGAATGATTTGCGCTTGTCAAATCTTAGCTTGGGTAAACTTGTCAGAACTTCTTTCTAGTCAGATGAAAAATAATACAAATCCTATACTGATCCACATAAAATAATATTTTTTAATACAATCGTTCATTGATTGGCCTGGCTCTAATCCATTGACAAAAATTCAAAGACTGCATCTGGGTAAAAAAATTAAAGCAAAAAGATACAACATATTAAGAAGCCTGAAATTTTAAATATACACAAATTTTCGAAATAGATAATAATCTCTCTTTTTTGAAGGTTTCTCCAAAATAAAAAAATGCAAAAATGATAAAAAATCGTATTTGAGAAATGTGTCAAATTAAAAAAAATGGCTCATATATTCTGCGTTTAGGAAGACCTCTATAAATCTCTAAGAGTTTCCGACGAGTATTTCACGCTCGTGCGATCATCATCGTACAACGGGATCGATCTTGGAATTCTTCCTGGACAACACATAAATCGTTATGAATACCAATCTATAACATTACATTTTCACAGGCTAGATTGAACGAGGTCGACTAATTACTCGTAAGTCAGAATCAGCCTAAGAGATGGCGGAGATTTTCTCGAACAACAGGATATTTTCAAGGATAAAGTCAAAGGTTAAAACTTCGGAAAGTATCGTGGGTAGAAAGAGAGAGAAAGAAGAAGGTTAAAGGCAAAGAAAATATCATCGATGAAAAAGGATAGTCTTTTCTTGGAATAATATCAACAATTCCGGTCAATCATCGCAGAATTATCGTCCAATTTATCTTCGATATAAAAAAAATATGTATCTTGTCAAAATTCGAAAAATTGATCAAAATGTTGAATGTAAAAGCTCGCGACAATTATGCAACTTTTATGAAACAAATGTTCCAGAATTATATTTCATTGAGTTACACGTGTCAAAATTTCATATATATTTAAAACAGAAATATCTTAAATGTGTTTTAAACCTTTTCGATATTTCAATAAATCTATTAATTTAACATTGAATTAGATTAGATATCTGATCTAAAGTTCAATTTAAACGATGTAATAATTCACGAAAAATTCGAGATAAAATTCTATTTATAATTCTATATATCTATACATATGTATAGCTTTTGATATGTATTCAATTTAAAATGTTTTCTATATTATAAATACAACGTGTGGGATTCTTTTTTCGTCTCGAATTTTATTTCGAATTGTAGATCATCTAAAATAAATAAGTACCAAAATCAAATCAACTAAATCGGAGTAATTTCTGATTTTAAATCTTTTTCATAACGCAAACAATTTAAAGAGAATCAAATAAAAGAGTAGCACAAGTTATTATCGACCCCATCTCAATTCTAAGCTTTCTTATTGTTAAAGTCAAAGTGCATTTTGCAAACACAAATTAATCTCCTTCTTACAAATCCAAGTGTTTACCTCGGCGGAAAACATTTCCACAATCATCGGAAAAATATTTAATTAATTCATATATGGCGTCGCATTCCATTAGAGAAAAAATCAATTTTCTCGACAAGGAAGAAATATAATTTCGGGGTATAATGCTACTCTCAATTTATTTCCCTCCATCGCGTGCACAAGAAAGAGGGTGGAAAATACGGATAGCACACATATATATATAATTATAAGCGGTTAATCGCGCCAAAAGCGCAGGAGCTTCGCGAACGAAGACGGCAACACGGAAAGGGAAAAAGACCCTGACCCATATTTAACGATGACCCATTTTCAGAAGTGCGTGCAGGGACGTAGCCGTCACCCTGTAGCAAAGCGTTATCCTCGAGTAAATTTGACCTACATATCGAGACGTTTGCAATGTCGCACGTTTTACGTCGGCGACAAGCGTCTCGCGCTTCCGGCAATTTAAAATCGCGCCTCTATATGAAATACCGCGATAAAAACGTCATTGCATAATAGAGATGAAGTCACGACAAAATTAAGTAAAATAAGTATGAGAAATCTGAGAAATTCGAATTTCGCACACAAACAAAGACAAACATATGATGGTATATTATATTCCCAAGTTAGATTAAATTCTCTCCCTTTTTCTCATTTTTTTTATTGAAGATTCTCAAGTTATTAAAATTGTAGAACGTAAATAATAAACGGGAGAATATATTTTGTTACATAATTAATTATCCAACTTTCTGTTTTCTTTCGAAAAAGTAGAGAAATGGAACTCGAGGGTTGAAGATTTCATTAATTGCAAAAATTACTTTACCCGTACTTTTGATCAGGAACGATCCTTTTGCAGAAATCATGTAACGTCGATTATATAAAAATATAATTGGAAAAATATCGCGCGCGTCAATATAAGATTGAAGTTCGAGAGAGCGATGGTATAATTTATAGTCGACTCATAAATTCTTGCATCGAGTGGGAAACTCAAAGCTCGATCGGTTTGAATTAAAGTTTCAATTTTAACGTCGCGAGTAAAATTACGGCGTGCATCGTAAAGCTTCTGACGTACACATTTCGGCGCAAATTCGCAGTTTCGGCTCTAAACCATCTTTAAAGTAAAGGCATCCGTTTCGCGGATCCGATACGAATTGGTCCGATCTAAATAAAGATTAATTGCTCCGTTCAATATGCACAATTTGTGCCGAAACGAAACCTTTGAACTCGAATTACAATAACCCATCTACCGACAGAATACTAAAGTAGTAGTTTTAATCGGCATCAAATTTCGCAGGCGTACAATATGTGTTCGTTCTCGCGATATCAAATCAAGAGAGATTGGTACATCCGAACTATATGCTTATATAAAAAAAAGCAGATTAAATCCGATCTCTTTCAAAAAAGACAAGAAAATAATTTCAATGTTTATATACAATTAATAAAAATATTAAAAACTAAAATATTAAATATGAAATACTCAAAAAAATATTTATGCAACAAAATTGCAACATTTACTCTGTAGAAATTTTGTATTTTAACTGTCATTCTCTTTGTGTTTTAAAATCCGCAAAAAATTATACATAAATAATGTATAAAAGTAATCAAAATTGTTACATCACTTATTATGATATTTTTCATGTTCTCTTTTACTTTTATTTTATATTTTCCATCTTGTGACTTGTTATTTTGTAATTATACAATTTTTAATTCTTGGTATAAAAATGTTTTTGTAAATCTACATTTTTATAAATGTAATTTAATTTATAATATATATATATATATATATAAATTATAAATTATAAAATATAATTATAATAAATATATATAATATATATATATATATATAATTATATATATATTAAATTACATATATATATATATATATATAAATTATAAATTAAATTACATTTATAAAAATGTAGATTTACAAAAACATTTTTATACCAAGAATTAAATTTATGGTTACTTACAAGCAAGTGCACATCTTACTACTAAATGAACATAAAATCATTCGATTAAAACCGAACACGCGTAAACGCTGTTGTTTATTATCAAGAGCCAAGGAAATTGTTCTGTTAAACGTATCCTTGTGTGTGTATACGTGTGTATGCACACAGAGGATCGAATTAAATTTCAGAGAGACACGAGGACGCGTATATATTTCCTCGCAGCCTCGCACACGCGATCGATCCGCCTCTAATATCATCGGCGAGTTCACGACATCGAGAAGGCATGAGCGTCGTAAAAATATCCGTTCGCCATCGTCCTGATATCGATAACGACAAACGGGACATCCGCGATATTGCGAACTTCGATCTTACAACGGTGACGATGCACTTATTGTTAGAACTTATCATGTCCGATCATATGCTACAGCTACTTCACTTTTTGCAACCTAATTGTCTTTGCCGCAATTAAATATAATATTAATATAATATATAATATAATATATAATATATAATAATATATAATATAATATAAAATAATATATGATATATATAAAATAATATATAATAATATAAAATATAATATAAAAAATCTACTAATATATAATAATATATAATATAATATAAAATAATATATGATATATATAAAATAATATATATTATAATATATAAAATAAAATAATATATAATAATATAAAATATAATATAAAAAAATCTACGATATAAAAAATATATTGCGACAAAGCTAATTGGGTTGCAAAAAGTGAGGTAGCTATAATATGTATATTTGTACGCGCATGTGCGCATTTTTGTTCGATTCCGGGTTTTCCAACACGCTCGATGAGGTAGACACGCAATTTTCACGACGCAATATGTTACATCGAAGTTTTATTTACGTATGCACTAATGCTGAACCACATCGCTTTATACGCAAAGATAGATATTACAACGTTAGCCGGAAATAAATCGCGCTTTTCGAACACGCATCTATATATATAAATATATATATGTATGTATAAGTGTATCTCGTGGCAAATACAATTAGGCTGCGAAAAGTGAAGTAGCTATATAATACGCGTATATTTGTGTGCGTTCGATTCTAGGTTTTCCAACACGCTCCATCAGGTAGACACGCAATTTTCACCGCGACGCAATATGTTACATCAAAGCGTATTTACGTATGCACTAATGCTGAACTATCGCTTTATATACAGGATATATATTACAACGTTAGTCGGAAATAAATCGCCCTTACAAATCGTAGTAAACACAGTCCAGAATGCGAGTGCGTAAACTACCGTAGTAAATTTTTTAAATACTGAAATATAAATATTTTATTTAATTATATGATTGAAATATATAATCTGTTTTCCGGACTTCTTATTGAACATTGATTTATTTGAGAAGTGTATGAATAAAATATCATAATTTATTAAAAAGTTAAATAAATTATGAAAATGTAAAATTTCAAACTTAAAATTATGTAAATTAAAATTTTGATTACTTTTACACAAAATCTTTTGAATATACTTAAATTGATGCACATGCATACGTTCATTTGGAAATTTATTTTACATAGTGATAAAGAGACAATTTTTTTACGATAGTATATACACCTTTGTCTGTATTATAAACTTGCATAATTTATATAAATATTTATATAATATTATATCAATTAAACCGATATATCATATATCATAAAGTGGTATAAAAAATCCTTTCCATGCACTCCCGTCCCATAAATATTTATTTAACTTTTAAAAAAAAAAAAAAAATTTAATTACCGCATCCGTGTGGAGTAATAGAGAATTTTTCATAAATGTCGCGTGTTGTAAGAATATTCCGACGAAGAATATTCCGTTATGCATCTCGTATAAGGATCCCCGGAGCACAATTAACGAAGCAAAGGTCAGAAGCTACGAGCTGTCATCGTCGTACGTAGCCGAGGATTTTCGGCGGACGCTCGCAGCATTGTGCGGTCTCCGAGAAGTTAGCCCGATCGATAGTTTACAATTGCTCGTTACACAATCGCCTCCTCGCGCGCAATAATTCGCATTGTTTCACATGTCCCTCGCGCTTTTCGCACGATCGAACTTTCACCCCCTCGACGAAAAGCGACGACACGACGCAACGCGACGCGGCATTTGGCATTTGCTGCGCGACGTAATTAATGCCGGGATAACATCCCGCCAACGCGCCGGGAGGTCGTACAATCTTATTTGCGAGTTGTAAAACTTGCAGAAACTTTGCGGAACAGAACAAAATTATATCCTTTTACTTGAAGATTTATCTCGTGTGCCTCTCTCTTTTTTTTACGATAGTATATCCGTTTGTATCTTATCTATATATTTGATGCCCTATATATGCACACATATATCGGAAAAAGTTGTAGATTACATCATATAAATATGTAATAATAGAATAACTATGTAATAAAAAATGTAAAAAAATTTGTAAAGAATAAAATTAAATACAATAGAGTATAAAATAATAAAATTAATTAATTGAAAATTAATTTAATTTTTATGTATGCATTACGATATTTCATAAATTATATATAACAGTAATAAAACAATTAGTACATATATAATATGATAATCAATAATTTGTATCATTATATCACCTTAATAAACTGAGTGCATTTTAACACAAATAATACATTACTTATATCTGCAATTACAAACAGTGCATGGAAATACAATAATTACGGTAATTTTCATTATTATGATCTCGTGTTGTTATAGTGTCGTAATCAAGTTTTCCATTCAGTATTTAAAAAATATATATATATATACATATATGTGATATGTATATTGAACAAGATGCATCTCCATCATATTGCACAGATTTTTATAGTGCCGAAGGCAAATAGTAATATTTGCAAAATTAATGAAAAGGTATTAGAGAACAAAAACTTTGCGAGTACAATAAGACAATAAGCAATATATTACATAATTCTAAAATTTTATTTTATTAACTAATGGATTCTCCGACAAATTATTTTTAATATAAAAATCAAGCGATAATCTTTCGTATTCATAAAACGAGATTGTAATACATAGACGAAAATGTTGGAAAATTAAAGAATATCGATTTATAATAGATGAAAATAGAAATAGTTATTCATAAAGTTCATTCAAATATTGATTTAGATAGACAAATAAAACTTTGATTTTTATATATTTACGTCATTAATAGAGTGTGAATTTTTAAAAAAAAAAATTGCATGTCTGATATTAATAATATCTTGTTTTTACGCAAGAATCAAGTAAAAATCAAATCAAGTAAAAAATGCAAAGTTCCTAAATTTAGATATATATTTACACATTTGTAATATTTAATAGGTCACTATTATTATTTAAATGAATATTTAAATGATGTGCGAAAACACCATTTCTGCTATGATGTAAATGGAATGATACTTTACAGAATTTTGAAAACCGAAATCGTATTTACTATACGATTTCGGTTCATTAATATGAAGCCGATCATTACCGATATCTGTTTCGCATGTTTCTCTCAATTAACAATTAGCCGTTAATTAGTCACGGTCGCTGGAACTAAACCTCGTAGTATTAAGAGCGGCAGCAATCATGTCTCTTCGCTCGTCGTTTCAAGATTAAACGTGGCAAAATGATAATATTGCAGCTGTGTGGCTGATACGAAAATTCTACACATGTGACATACCGGACCAAATGATAATTGACATCGACAAAGTAGAGAGAGAGAAAAATAAACGTATACGCGGGAATAAAAATTATATTAAAGAATCTTTGAAATACGGAATATTCAAACACAGAATAAACAATACAGCATCCTCTATTGAGAAGGAAAAAAAAGATCCCTTTGTTATGATGTAAAATACGCAGTTTTACGATGTATTACGGTATTTCTCGGAGATTCTCGCGTATTTTACGCGTTTCCACGGTTCCTTAGATTTTCTTGGATATCCTGAGATCCTCGGAATTCCTCGATAATAAAATAAAAATTCTCATGCGTATATATATATATATATATATCAAAATTCTTGAGAATGCCAAGAAAATATTGATTTCGCAGAAACACAGAGATGATAATTAACCCGCATTTTATCTTGTTTCGCTTGTTCTCGCAATTGCATTAAACCATCCGATGACTCCGGAGAAATCTAGCTGCCTATCGCGAGTTTCCCGGCTACGCGTAATCGCGTTAAAACCCTGCGGAACGATTGCGCGAAAGTTCGCAACATCGCTAACAGAGATTCGCCCTTAAATACCAATGCCGGTAATTAGCCGGTAATATAGCCTGAGAACGTATATCACCTTAATATATCGACGATTAAACTTTCAACGATGTTTCGGGCATCCCGTCGAACCCCTAGACTACTTTTAACGTTTGTATTAAACGTAAGCTTTAAACTCTAAATCAATAACGTAATAGACGCGTATAAGGTATCCCGTGATCTCTTTAGAGCAATTAAATTTCACGAAAGAGAGTCGAATTTCATACGATTTTGTTTACGTTCTATAAAAAATTAATCTAGGCACAGATGCTTTTCTTCGCGGATGTTAAATAATTCCACCAATTAATATAGATGATTTCTTATGATTTTTAATAAAAAAAATTTTAATATAGAATATTTTTAGATATTTAAATTCATAATATTTAATCATTAATATTCAGATATTAAAAAGCTTTAGATATTAAAGAAGAGATTAATATTTGGATATTAATGGGGCTTGAAGTATTTTATTTCTTGCACAATTATTTTTGTAGACTTAACTATTATTATATACGTGAAAAACATTATTGGAATAACAGAAAAATAATATCCTTTCCACTAATCAATATAGAATGATTTATTATTTTTAATAAGAAAAAATTTAGATATATTTTTATATATTTAAATTAATAATTAAATTAATAATATTTAGTTATATATATTAATATTCAAACATTAAAAAGAAATTTAGATATTGAAAAAGGGATTAATATTGGAGGCCTAAAATATTTTATTTGTTGCTTAATTATTTTGGCAAACAATTATTATTATATTGGAATAATGGTGAAAAATAGTGTCCTTTCTTGTGCGTAAGAATATTGAAAAGAGCACAGAAAAAAAGGAAACCTTGAATCAAGTATATTTTTATTCTTGAACGCTATTTGATTGATTTAAGCATAGAATGCTCTTTGTAATTACAAATTTTCATTTGCCTTAATAATAAATAATAAATTTATATGGAAGGTTTTTTTGTAATTTTAATATATTGTTTATAAAATAAATTTTAATTGGATACAACATTTTAAATATTGCTCGATAAGTTGGTCTTTTTTGAATATAGTTGTTGTGTTATACAATACACAAGCGAATAGAAATTTTAATTGATAATAATAAATAAATTTGTGTGAAGTATATTTTATCCTTAAGATATATTCTTGTTTTAAAAATCATTATATAGTAAAAACAAACTTACAATTTGTCACATTTGAATTAAGAATTATATATTTGAATTATATATAAGAATTATATATTTGAAAGTATCGCTTATATCCGATGCTCACTTGTCCTTGCAATATTTATAAGTAAATTTCAGCTTCAACCAAAAATATTTGCACTTTGTTTTAAAGATAAATTATCCTTTATCCAAAATTATTAATATTTGGCGCTATTATAAGGATAAAATATACTTGAATCAAGGCATATTTGCATTCTTTCAAGGATACTGTTTTTTCTGTGAGACACACTCACCTGATTCGCCTTGTTGATCTGCTTCTTGAGCCCGGCGAACGCCATGGTGCTGTCGTGTCGTTGCTTCCTTGGATCACGCGCAAATCGTCTCTGACTGCAACAGAAACGGAAACGAGAAATGTCAAATAAGGTTCTTGGAACAGTAAAGGGTAGGAGAGAAAATGGGGCGAAGGAAGCTTGAATTTATGATCCAGCCAGCTGCTGGCCGTTCGCCAACGTCGAACGGGATGATTTTCAATGCTATATCGATCGCGCATGCATAGTACGTCTATACACATTCTCGGCCGCGTGTGTCTTCCAGCATCGTGTGTGCCACGATTACTACTCGTCGCTGATGTAATTCCTGGTGGCGTCGCGTCGCTTCGCGTGCGGCTTCGTCCAGATACGTGTAATGTAATGCCCAGGCGAGATATACACACAGGCTCCTCGCGTGATCTCACACGCGTGAAACCGCAATCGTGCCGACCCGACCTCTCAACAGGCTCTAATGAGAGCAAGTAATGTGTGCTCTTAGCGCGACACGCGACGTACATCGGCAGGTCGTCGCGTTCGACTTCAAAAGAATATCGACGCGAAAAGTATTGAGACACTTAACCCTGTGTCAATGAACGGGGAACCTGGAGCAACCTTTCAAAATGTGTCGGGATTTTTTTAATACTGAGTGTCCCAGAATTAATGGCGTTAGATTCCTGGGTTCACTTGGAGACGATTTTGCCTCGACGAAAATGTCAATAATGTTCGAGTTATAAGCGATTGAAAATAAAGGGTTTTTCGCTAACTAAGGCTTGTGAAAATAAAATAAAATTACATTCTTTTATTAATTTTATATAGGGTTTACTTTAATTTTAATTTAAAGATTAATTACGAAGATACATGATGGCAAAAATTGGAAACATGCTAAAAATAATGGGCTCTCTCGATATTTTTGCTGAGAAAATATATCACTATTAATTTAGTTATTGAATTCGAACAAGTATTTATTTCAATACTGCCGAATACTACTGCATAAATCATTTATTTGAGACTAATAATATTGATTTGGTGTAAAAATATTTATTTGATATAAAAAAATTTATTTGCTTTGAATAAATAATTGATTAGGCAGTACGGAAATAAATAATTATTAATTTAATATTTTTTTCTGTGAATGTATTCCTTGTATTCCCAAAATATAACGGGAAAGAATATTCGATGCCCAGCAGCTGCTATAAAGCAATTATCGCAGTACAATGTGTCAAAATTGTTATCCGGATCCCCCATTGATGAAGAGATGAAAAAAATCATACATTGACAGAAGGGTTGTATGACAAGAGAAAAAAGAGAGAGATTCTATGGAGGGATATTGCAAGTATATATAAAACCTAACTATACCTCTTTTTTACTAGCAAAAGAGTAATGCATTATAGATCCATGATTCATAAAACTTAATCATTCATAGAAATCTTCTCTATTACTCTATAGAGCAATCGATGAGTTCATCTATCTAAAGAAACGAGTAATACAAATATTCTTAAATAAATGAATGACCAACTACGTGCATCGATTTTCTATAAAACTCTCTCGTATAGTACAAAATATTAAAATATAATAAATAGCACACATATTCGATAAACATTTATAAATAATAAATGTATGAAATGTTTGATGAACAAGGAGCAAAAGAAAATTTGCCAGATTATATTTCATCCTACACATCGCAATAAATGTCAATAAATATTATATACTAGCAATAAAAAGATTTATGATAAGAATATTAATTCTATTTGCTGAACATGCAGGAGAAATTGTGAGAAGAGAGAGATATATTACATATGATACAACGACATTGTTTCGCTGTAACGTTATTCTTAAAAGCGAAATATTTTCCTTCAGTCGCAAATGAAATTTGCTTCAGCAGCAAATTCGTATTACTGTAAATAAAGTTACTCTCTCGCAAGATCTTTCGGACAAAACAAGCTCTATTGTAATATCAAATAATTCGTTACGGTAGCAAAGTTTCGCATCAAATATGCAATAGCAGCTACGGTTTTGCCGCGACAGCGAAATCCCTTTTCTCCGTGAATATTGAGTTATTGCAGCTCTCTTAATAAAGGCAATATTGCGCGTCGTTGAATTCATACACGGAGTTGTTTCAGCGAACGCGGTGATACGAAAATGTTTCTATTCGCGCAAAATCTATAAACGGTGAATCTGCGAGAGTAAACTTGCTCTCTATTAACAGCAGGCAACACACAATATTTCTCATCGACGATTGTCTCGCGCATCGAGATACAGATGCAGGAGTTTTAGCAAAAACAAGCGGCATGATATATCTATATGCGCGATAAGTCCATAACGATAAAAGCTAGCTCGCATTTGTCACGTCAAACGCACCAGATCCGATATATTATGTCGAGTTAAAGCAATCTGACCTATAACGAAGAGAGAGAGCAATCTTGTAAAAATTTTTAAATCCATAATTGAAATAAATCCACGACACTCGAATGCAAAAAACGACGATAATATAATAAAATCGTGACAGATTCTCTCCCGAAAAAATAACGCGATGCTCTCATAAATTTCAAGACAAGTTGTCGATGTGAATTTCAAGAAAGCACTTTGAACTGGAAAAAAAACACTGCGCAGACAGGCGCAAAAAAATGTATATTATACAATTGATCCGAGCACAAAAGGTCGCGGGAATTAAACACGATTAACTAATTAATCCGAAGAGCGTCGAGAGTCAAAGAACTCCGCGAACTAGCACAAACCTTTTGCACTCGCAGAATCGTCCTAAAAAAATTATATCCCATCGTCGATCGAAATAATTAACGAACCGGCCGCGAATCCATCAACGAGCCTACATGGCGGAGGTTCTTAATGTCTAGAATTGTGGCACACATCGATCGCGATATGCACACATATACACACACACCGTCGAAATCCTGTTAGTGACGAGCCACGCTGATTAATGCAACGTCCTTATTAATGAGTCTTATTAATGGGATTAGAGGCGTAATGATCGCGGGCGTTCCATTAAAAGCGGGTTCGATTGACCCGACCGGTCGTGTCGTTGTTTCGAAAGCAGAAGAAGAAGCAAAGGGAAACAAAAGGGAGAGAGAGAGAGAGAGAGAGAGATTCGGAAAGTGGGCGAAAGGACGGTAAGATGGAGGATCGCTCTGACACAGTTCGGCAACGGCGATTGTCCCAATTTTATACTAGCTAGTATAGATTGGATTAGCGATGCACTGGTTGCATCATCGAGCGTCCAATAATTGCGTCGAATCGCTCGAACTCTTATAACGAAATTCTGTGAGTGAAAAAGATGGTGCTGTAGCGTAGAATAATGATTATACTGAATAGTTTTGATAAAAAATATATTATCAGTCGAACTGGTGAAATTTAAATATGAAATAAAAAACTAAATGTGTGTAAAGCTACGAACGGAATAGGTATGATGCGAAAGACTATAATAAGATGTAAGATATAAATAAGGATAAGGAAAGTAGGTGGCACTAGAATACAGAGAACTATAGAGCTATATAACGCTCTCTGTAATATAGAAAGCTCTATATACTGTAATACGTTACATCAAAGTAAAAGTAGACTATAGAGAGACCAGGTTAATCACACAGTTCTAGAATGAAGACAACCGCGTTAGTGGATTCACATGCCTATAACCGAGGATAATTAAACCCTCATCCTCGTTCAAGCTCGCTTATATACTCAGTCAGCGATCTATAATCCGCGAACGAGACGACACACACGTCCCTGTTTCAGAGTACCGTTGATAATGTCACGCCGAATGATCGAGGAAAGGACGACAATTCTCGCCGGAAGCGAAGTAAACCTAACGAAGTGACAGCGCGCGAGATAAAAAAAAAAGAGCGAAGGCTTATACATGACGCGAAAAAATATTATTACGACAAGGCCGCACTCGGTCGTGTGTGTTCTCTTCTTCTCACCTTTTTCTTCTCCGTGCGGCCCCCCGGCGAACCGGATGCACCCCTAAATTTGCGCCCCTAAATAACCCCGAGCGGACGGATATGCGTGCTTGACGTGTGCTTGCTTGCGTGAGGTGTAACGTGAGAGGGTATCCCGCGTGGGCCCACGAGCACCGAGCGAGAGCACCACCGGACTACTCTCGCACACACTGCGAAGTCTCCTTCTAGGGGGTAGTTTTGCTGCTGGCCGATCGATACGCGGCCGCACGGCTCGGATTCCCCGTCTCTCTCGCTACCCTGCTGTCTCTCTCCGTCTCTCATACCGCGACTATCCCTTCCCATCCCTCTCTTGTTCCTTCTCTTTCTCTCCAGCGATAGCCGCTTCTTTCCTGTCAGGGACGGATCCAGGAAGAGAACCGAACGGATCGTGTTCCAATTTCTTTTTTGCGTGAAATCATTTTGGTTCATAATTTTGGGATGCTATCCGGTGATAAAATATACTAAAATTGCTGCCGTAGTTCTGTTTTACCGACTTTAAGTTAGGTTAGGTTCACTTTTTATTGAACATACAGATTGAAAAATCTTCCACAATGAAAGTACTAATAATAATGAACGGGGAGCTTTACTTTTGTGTTATTCTTTCATGTCATCTCTATTGGGAGCACCATATTTTGTGCACAAATAAACTGTAGAACTTTTGTATTAAATCAGTATTGTTATGAGCTGATGCAAGAGGTCGATAAAAAATACTGCAATTTTTAACTTTTATTTTTTTATACGAAATTACAGCGCTTCCCGTTCATTAATATGAGTACTTTAATTGTGGACAAGGATTTTTCAATCTGTATAGCCAATAAAAAGAAAAGCCCTTGAACTCAAAGTCGATAAAACAGACATGGTCAGCATCCCCTTAATTTTATGTCTACACCCCCCGAGACAATTTTCAAGATCCACCGCTGCCTGCCCTTTCTCCCTGTCGCCCTCTCTCTCTCTCCTCTTTCCACGTGCGCCGCAACCCTCGACTTTATTCGCGTACTTCTGCTCTCTCCACGCTTATACCGGGTGTCTGCAACGGTTAAAAGTCATTTTGGTATATATATTCGCTTCGAGAATACGCGCGCACGCGCGGACATAGGGGATGAACAATGTCACCCCCTAGGATAAGGCAACA